TTTTAAACTAACAATGATATTCACTAGATCCAACCTACTTTGTTCTATATTACCATAAGTGACCTTCAACAAGTCAACTGCTTCCTTGTAAGAGTCATCTACACTGGGAAAGGCTTGTATGAGTATGTGAGCATCTCCTCTTACTTGTCCTTTGAGGTAAAATAATTTAGTTACACAGGCTAGGTCATTCCTGTCATGCACAGCTGCTTTAAAAATTGATCAAAATTCCTCCCAATTTTCTCCAGAATTAAATACAGGTAAACATAATTCTGGGAGTTTTGGCAAAGACATATTATTTGTTGGAGCAGACTGATTATCTGCCTGGTTTACACATTTTAATTTATTCAAGGCCTGACTTTTACAAGAAAGAATCTTTTCTTCTAATTCATAATACTGATTAATCATGAGATCTACTTCAGTCTCATCTACACAGTTTACAATTTGTTACCTAAAACATCTAAATACAATTTTAAATCATCAGTATTCACAGTTTCTTGATTCATTAATTCCAAACATTTATTGTATGCTTTTGTTACATGCCCTTTTCTAGCTTGCAGTGATGCTTTTTTTGCTCTATATTTCATATGTTTGTCTTCTATATTAATTTCCTCATTTTCAGTCATGATGTAATGTATTAAATTCAACTCAATTAATAACACTGATTACAACTTACAACACTGATACAACTTACCTTTGAATAAATCCTAGCTACTTGAGCTTAGCAATTACGTGTAAGAAAATTATAATATAAATTTTAAATGTACATTAATACAAACTTGGCTCATCAAAATTAATAATAAACAAATTAATAAATCCTTGCCAGAATTTGGCATAGCAAAAATAATATTATACACATTAATATAATTAGCTACACTTAGCTTATCAATTACACATACACTGATATAAATCTTGGCCAGAATTGTTTTATCAAATTAATATTGTACAAATACATTAATATAAATCCTAGCCACTTTGGCTTTGCAAATTTAATATTATACACATTAATATAATTAGCTACATTTGGCTTATCAATTACACATACACTTATACACATTAATATAATCTTTAGCCACACTTGACTTATCCAAATTAATATTGTAATAATTATAATCCACTACACATTAAGTAAATTTTTGAACTTAACATCCACCTCCTGTCATTTCACATATAATTATTAAGTAATTAACTAATTAATGACTCCACTAATTACATCCAGTTCGAAGGACCAATGGGCAAATTAAATGTGGAAAATGACATTTATCTGAATGTATCATTATGTACATAACAGTAAATGAACAAAGATATTATTATTTATCAGTTAGACAAGTAGGAATTTGGGACACCTAGGTCGCAAAAAATGCCTCCCTTCGATACCTACCACTGTCATATCCACAAGTTGCTCTGGACCTATTAATTACAAATGAAATATGTATCACCAGGAATGCTGGTAAATATATAATTTTGTGGACGGTATATTAAATTAAAAAATTATTATATATAAACACATTTACATAACAGAAGAAGAATATCTTAAAATCACTCACCAATTTGACAGGAGATTAAGGTATATTGTACTCAGAAAACCTCACTGTCTAAATTTACGAAAATACTCTCCAGAATTAAACATAAACAGACTTATCTGAGGTTCCTGGAGCTGTCTTGTCCAGTCACCTGATACTCAAATTATGCAGGAATGCACATCCAACAATTTCGCCTCCTATTTGAGAGGTGTCAGCCCAATTTTAACCTCTAGAGCACGAAAAATTCTTCCCATTACTCATGTCTGTTACTCAATTCAAAAACAAAAATGGCGAGTGTCTTCTGTGCAGACACAGGCTCAGTTTCCCATTTTCCATAACATATTTTATTAAATACAGTATGGCCATCTATTTACATATAACAACTGTATTTCTGGAAAATATATACAGTATTTTCCACACAAACAATATTTTTGTTTCCCTTATCATTAACAGAAATTAACATTTAGATTTAAAGATAACGTGACTTAGGAGGAACACGTTTGTAGAAATTCATGGAAGTTGAGGTGGCAAATTCCCCGTGTACATTTATCTATTGTTTACCATCAGACACAAGGGTGTAATTACAGTGGCATGACAGTGACAGTAGTTAGGAAGGGCGTTTTAGTCCCACACGTTGCAATCGGTAATATTTACAGTTAGAGGTATTCTAATTACCAGTTAGAAGAATTCTAATTTGAAATTAGATTTAATCGAAGTACTAATTACCTGAGATCTAACTACTAATTACAGGGATTTGTAACTAACAATTACAGTATCTATGACTACCAATTACAGGACTTTGCACTACCAATAGCACGAGTAACCAAGTCCTGATTACAGGAGCGCTAACTAAAGGCTTCAGGAATTACAACCACTTACAGAAAGTGCGAAGGTTTACAACAAGACTAGTCGCGAAGCAAAGGGTATGTCCTACAAGGAGATGTTAAGAGAACTCAAACTGATGACCTGGGAGTACAAGAGACGTTGGGAGGACATGATAACGTCGTATAAAATCCTCAGAAGAACTGACAAGGTGGACAAGGCCAGAATAATGGGACACAACTGGAGGTTAAAGACTCAGATGAGCCATAGGGATGTTAGAAAGTATTTCTTTAGCTTTAGAGTTGTCAGGAAGTAGAATAATCTGGAGAGTGAAGCATTCGAAGCACGATCCATACATAACATTAAGAAGAGGTATGATAAATCTCATGGAACAGGGAGAAAGTGGATCTAGTAGCGACCAGTGGAGAGGCTTGGCCAGGAGCTATGAATCGATCCTTGCAACTGCAATTATGTGAGGATTACGTGAGTACACACACACACACAAACACACTCACACAATAAAACATATCAACATAATCATACTATCTCACTCACAAAAACACATTAACACATTAACACATAAACACACACACGCACATACACACACACACACACACACACACACACACACACAACACACACACACACACACAACCACACACACACACACACGGGGAGAGAGAGGACCCAGTAGCAACCAGTGAAGAGGCGGGGCCAGGAGCTAAGACTCGACCCCTGCAACCACAAATAGGTGAGTACAACACACACACACACACACACACACACACACACACACACACACACACACACACACACACACACACCTCTATGCAAAGTTTACAGACTGTAGAAGCTAGAGAATCTTAACAGGATAAAACAAAAAATGGGATCTCAAAAAGTAGAATGTAGAGGTAAGGGAACCGAGGATGGTTGGTCTGAGATGGGGGAATGGGCAGAAAGGCTCAAGAGCAAAATGGAACAAGATTCGGAAAGAAGAATAAACTAGCATTGCAAAACAATGATGGAGAAGATATCTGCAGAATGGAAGAAGTGGGAGATAAGAGGTGAAGCTGCTGAGGCAAAAATACAGAGACTGGCAGAAGAACTGGAAGTGCTAAAGCAGGATATAAAGATGAGGACCAAAGGAAGCAAGGTGATAGAAACAGGAGCATCAGAGGACAGTGAGGGGGCTGAAGGACGGAAAGAAGCTAAGAGGTCCCTTGCAGAAGTCATATCAGGCCACCGGGGTGTCCAGGAGATGACAGGCGAAACAACAAATGAGATGCTTAAATTGGATCCAGAGATATGAAGGGAAAAGAAATGGGAAGAAGAGAGAGAGAGGTCAATAATTATTCATGGACTTCAGAAAGCTAAAGGGACGATTTATAATGAAAAGACAATAGGAGAAAAAAGAGACTGATAGCATCATCGAATCAACCAGAAAGAAGGACATGTCCCAGCTACAAATTTTCACAGAATTGAGGGCATTCAAGGAAAAAAAATCGCCCAATCAAATTGACATTCAAAACAGAAGTTGTACAGAACATGATCCTATAACAGAAACCACTGTTAAAGGATTCCCAATTATATCAGTGTGTACCTCGACCACGACAGAACATGAAAAGAATAGGAACAACTGAGAGTGAGGATAAGAAGACACCATTGGAAAGAGAGACAGGGCAGGCATCAACAGGACAGGATAGCTTAGACTTGGGGAGAGCACCAAACACAAAGGGTCACAGAACCCTCTCTCAATCCATACTACCCCATACCAACCAAACACAATAACCATAAACAAGCCACACTCTACAGCTCCCAACCCCACCAGCACTAATACCACCATCACAGAAGCCTTCAGCCTTCCACATCCCTAGTCCACACCAAACCCTCACACCTAGAATGCAGTAATGGACAGGAAGCTGAAGGTATTTTACACCAATGCAGGTAGAATAACAAATACGAGTGAGGAGTGGCAAGAACGAGTCATTGAGGCATCCCCAGACATCATAGCACTCAGAGAGGTAAAGCTCACAGTGGTGATAGCAGATGTGATCTTCCTAACTGGTTATCAGATGTTGAGGAAAGACAAGAGAAACAGAGGGAGAGGAGGAGTTGCACCCCTTATCAAAAGCAGTGGAGTTTTGAGGAGATGGGAGGAATGGACAGAGGAGAAGCAGATGACTTCACAGTAGGAACTCTTCAGACCTGGGGTCCAAAGGTGATAATAGCAGTGATGTAAAACCTGCCACTGAACAGTAAGAGACCAAGATAAGAGTACATTGAGAGCAAGAGAGCAATGGTGCATACATTAGCCGAGGTGACCAGGAGAGCCCACATGGATAGGCCAAGTTACTTGTCATGGGGGATTTCAACCACAAGAAGACTGACTGGGAAAACCTAGAACCACATGGGGACCAGGAACGTGGAGGGCTAAGATGCTGGAGACAGTATTGGAAAACTTCATGCACCAACATGTTAGGGATGCAACCAGAGAGAGAGAGAGGATGTACCAGTAAGACTGGACCTTGTATTTACCTTGAACAGTTCAGACATAGAAGATATTTACACACAAATGGCCCACTTTTTTTTTTTTTGTTTGTTTTGCTAGTGATCATGTGGTCCTGAGTATCGAATACCTTGCAGTGTTTTCAGTGGAGAATGAAGAAGCACAAGATTGATCAGAGACATGAAACTACAAAAAAACAGGACTACACAGGTATGAGGTAATTCCTGCATGAGGTGCAGTGGGAAAAATAACTAGAGGGAATGACAGAAAATGAAATGTAAAGAAGTGACCACAAAGTGCAGGAAGACAAAGGAGAAGTTCATACCAAGGAGTAGCAGAAAAAAATGGAAAGACCTGAGTGAGCCCATGGTTTACCTGGAGGTGCAAAGAGGACAAATGCCAAGTGTGCTAGAGCGTGGAAAAAGTAAAGAAGGCAAGGGATTCAAGAAAACAAGGAGTTAAGCAGAAGAGCCAGAAACGAATATGCATGGATAAGGAGAGAGACCCAGCGGCAGTATGAGAATGACAGCATCAGAAACCAAATCTGACCCAAAATTCCTATACAGTCAGATCAGGTCAGGAGGAAAACAACAGTCAAGGACCATGTAACCAGGCTGAGGAAGGAAGAAGGAACTCACAAAGAGTGACCAGGAAGTATATAAAGAGCTTAGCACAAGATTTAGAGAAGCATTCACAGTGGAGAAAGAAATGCATCCGGCAGAAAGAGGCAGTAGAGTGCACCAGCAAGTGCTGTTCACACTGCACATGCCCAAGATGGAGGTGAAGAAACTGCTAGGTGAACTAGATACCTCGAAGTCGGTGGGCCCAGATAACATCTCTTCATGGTTTCTGAGAGGGAGAGAGCAGAGGAACTGTGTGTACCACCAGCAGTAATAAATCTATCGAGCCAGCGCAACTGCCCGAGGTGTGGAAGACAGCAAACGTAAGAAAGGGGACAGAGGCAGCATTAAACTACAAACCAGTGTCACTGACATGTATAGTATGTAAAGTCATGGAGATGATTATTAGAAGAGTGGAGGAGTACATAGATAGGACTGGGCTTACTCATGACAACCAGCACGGCTTCTGGAATGGGAATCCTGTGTCACAAATCTACTTGAGTTCTTCGACAATGTGACCGACGACAGGAGAGAGAGAGAGAGAGAGAGAGAGAGAGAGAGAGAGAGAGAGAGAGAGAGAGAGAGAGAGAGAGAGAGAGAGAGAGAGAGAGAGAGAGAGAGAGAGAGAGATAGAGACAGAGAGAGACAGAGAGAGACAGAGAGAGACATAGACAGACAGACAGACAGACAGAGGGATGGGTAAAGTGTATCTGTTTTGGACTGTATGAAGGCTTTCGACACTATACCACACAAGAAACTGATTTAGAAACTAGAGGAGCAGGCAGGAATAGTAGGGAAAGCACTACAATGGGTCAGGGAATTTCTGACTGGAAGGAAACGAGCGTTGGTACGTGATGAGGTGACAGAGTGGGCGCATGTATTGACTGAGGTTCCACAAGTGTCAGTCCTGGGTCCGGTGCTATTGCTTGCATATGTGAATGACATGATTGAAGGAATAGATTCAGAGATGTCCTTGTTCGCTGGTGATGTGAAAATAATGAGAATACAAGCAGACGAGAATCAGGAAAGATTACAAAGGGGATCTGGACAGGATGTAAGCTAGGTCTGACAAATGGTTCCTGGAGATTAACTTCACTAATTTCAAAATCTTGAAGCTTGGGAATGGACGAAGACGATCGCGGACATAGTACAGGCTAGGGGATCAAAGGTTGCAAACCTCACTCAAGGAAAAGGATCTTAGGGTGAGCATCATACCAAGCACATATCATGAGGCGCACATCAACCAGATAAGCGCTGCAGCATATGGGCGCCTCGCAACCCTGAGAATAGCATTTCGCCATCTAGGAAAGGAGTCATTCATGGCACTGTATACCGTGTACGTCAGGCCTATATTGGAGTATGCAGCACCAGCATGGAACCGCACCTGGTCAAACACGTCAAGAAACTGGAGACAGTGTAAAAGTTTGCAACAAGACTAGTCCCGGAGCTAAGGGGTATGGCTTATGAAGAGACGTTAAGTGACTCAACCTGATGACACTAGAGGAGAGGAGGGATAGTGATGATATTGAGAGGAATTGACAAGGTGGACTAGGCCAGAATGTTTCAGAGATGGCACACAAGAGCAAAGGGACACATCTGGAAGCTGAAAACTGAAGTGAGTCATAGGGATTTTAGGAAATATTTCTTTAGCCTTTAGAATTGTCAATAAGTGGAAGAATCTGGAGAGTGAAGTAGAGGACGCAGGATCAATACATAGTTTTAATAAGAAGTATGATAAGCCTCTTGGAGCAAAGAGGAGGGGCCAGGAGCTTTGACTCGACCCCTGCAACAACATATTGGGGAATACTACTAGGTGAGTACACACACACACACACACACACACACACACACACACACACAACACACACACACTACACACACACACACACACACACACACACACACACACACACACACACACACCACACACACACACAACACACACACACACACACACACACCACACACACACACACACACACACATACACACACACACACACACACACACACAACACACACACACACACACACACACACACACACACACACACACACACACATACACACACACACACACACACACACATACACACAATACAACACAACCACACACACACACACAACACACACACACACACAAACATCACAACAACTACATACACCCAACACACACTCACACAACATACACACACACACACACACACACAACACACAACTTTGAGATACACTTAACTACAACAGTGAGCAAGACAGACACATCTTACATCGAGCATTGTCAATAATCACTAACTCCAGTTACCAACATATACAACTGGTTTATATTACAAACATTAATACACAACTGGTTTATATCACACACATCACACACACTTGAACATAACACAGCTTACACACATTACAACACTTCCTATTCACAACGTAATTACCACATATCATTACCAACAATTTACACACACCAATACACACTTGAGAAGTTTAGTGAACTTGTAGAAAACATTTACTCTATGCAAGTATCGATAATAACATCATTTCCGAAAATTAAGTATTTAGCACTCACTGACCTTGTGACAGTTACTTACAAGTACACGTATTCATAAGAGTTTAATTTAATCTGAAAACTTATTTGAAGGTACACACTACTTGACAGGGAAGTATTACAAGGACACAGTAATTTACCAGGTAAACATTCGCTTTATCCAGGTACAACGTATTACCAGGACCAACGTATTTATCAGTGACACACGTTACTTTACCAAGGTAACACACGTAAACTTACATTGAAATAGTACATTACAGGACACACGTACTTTACCAGGACCATCATTTACAGGACAAGTTACTTACCATGGACTACAACTTTACTAACACTTGCAGGGACACAGTTACTTACCAGGCCCACGTAATTACCAGGACACACGATACTTACCAGGACACACGTACTTACCAGGACACACGTACTTACCAGGACACACGTACTTACCACGACACACGTACTTACCAGGAACCACATGCTTACCATGACACACGTACTTACCAGGACACACGTACTTACCAGGACACACGTACTTACCAGGACACACGTACTTACCAGGACACACGTACTTACCAGACACACGTACTTACCAGGACACACGTACTTGCCAGGACACACGTACTTACCAGGACACACGTACTTACCAGGACACACGTACTTACCAGGACACACGTACTTACCAGGACACACGTACTTACCATGACACACGTACTTACCAGGACACACGTACTTACCAGGACACACGTACTTACCAGGACACAGATACTTACCAGGACACACGTACTTAACAGGACACACGTACTTACCAGGACACACGTACTTACCAGGACACACGTACTTACCAGGACACACGTACTTACCAGGACACACGTACTTACCAGGACACACGTACTTACCAGGACACACGTACTTACCAGGAACCACGTACTTACCAGGACCACGTCTTACCAGACACACGTACTTACCAGGACACACGTACTTACCAGGACACATGTACTTACCAGGAACACGTACTTACCAGGACACACGTACTTACCAGAACACACGTACTTACAGGACACACGTACTTACCAGGACACACGTACTTACCACGGACACACGTACTTACCAGGAACCACACTTACCAGACACAGTACTTACCAGGACACACGTACTTACCAGGACACACGTACTTACCAGGACACACGTACTTACCAGGACACACGTACTTACAGACACACGTACTTACCAGGACACACGTACTTACCAGGACACACGTACTTACCAGGACACACGTACTTACCAGGACACACGTCTTCCAGGACCACGTACTTACCAGGACACACGTACTTCAGACACACGTACTTACCAGGACACACGTACTTACCAGGACAACGTACTTACCAGGACACGTACTTACCAGGACACACGTACTTAACAGGACACACGTACTTACCAGGACACACGTACTTACCAGGACACACGTACTTACCAGGACACACGTACTTACCAGGACACACGTACTTACCAGGACACACGTACTTACCAGGACACACGTACTTCAGGAACACGGTACTTACCAGGACACGTACTTACCAGGACACACGTACTTACCAGGACACACGTACTTTCCAGGACACACGTACTTACCAGGACACACGTACTTACCAGGACAATCGTACTTACCAGACACAAACTTACCAGGAACAGTACTTACCAGGACACATGTACTTTCCAGGAACCACGTACTTACCAGGACACACGTACTTACCAGGACACACGTACTTACCAGGACACACGTACTTTCCAGGACACACGTACTTACCAGGAACCACGTACTTACCAGGACACACGTACTTACCAGAACACACAAACTTACCAGGACACACGTACTTACCAGGACACACGTACTTACCAGGACACACGTACTTACCAGGACACACGTACTTACCAGGACACACGTACTTACCAGGAACCACGTACTTACCAGGAACCACGTACTTACCAGGACACACGTACTTACCAGGATACACGTACTTACCAGGACACACGTACTTACCAGGACACACGTACTTACCAGGAC